GGGAACCAGGACCAGACGCTCCTCGATTCTGGTGAGAATGATTACCGACTGGAATTTTATTAGATCCAGGCTATGCGAAGAGAAAATAACGTCTTACTTTTGCGTGACACTCAACAGTTATTCACTGACTTAAAGGTTAATGTCCAACATTTCAACTGGTAAGATATATTTGAAGCTTAGAAAATAATTGCCGTCTCCTCCCATTTAATGATTTCAGAAAAACTGGCTCAGCACAATTAGTATTGCCTCTGTTGTGGTTTGTGCAGTGGTACTTGAAAGCTATTCATGGGCTCTGAAATTTTTATTGCGAGCCAAATATTATTATTATCGTCCAAGAAACGGTGAAGGTTCTCGTTTCTTTTGGCCCAATGACCCAAAAATCAAGTTTAAAGACCAGGAAAATACCATGATAGCCATACATGCCTTGATTATCATATTTGCCATCGCTGAGATCATTCTCGCCGTGGCGATGGCTAGGAACAGTAATGCTGGGCGTCAGTCACCGCAGGAAAATCAGGTATTTTGCGTTACTTGGGAAAAAAATCATTTATTGAATATGGCATTGAAGTCTAGGAAGGCATGCGGAAATCCTATCTTATTTCCTCTTTCTTCCGTCCTTACTCCTTCTCCTCTTCGTTGTATTTTGCTTTGGCACGACTTCATTCACCTTCCTTCGTCTCACCTTTTCTCCCTTTCTCATTCTCTTCATCCTCTCTTTTCTCCCATCCCCTTCCTTCCTCCCTTTCGCTTTGTATTCCTAGCTCACCTGTTCCCTCTCTTTTCTCCCCTCTCTTCCATCTCCCTCCATTCCTCCCTCCTTTTTCTCCTCCTTCCATAGCTCCATAAAGACCATCCTTACTTCCTGTCTCGCTCCGTTCCTTTCAAACTCCACCTCTATTCGTCTTCCCTCCATTCCCGCAGTTTTTCTTTTCACATTTCTCCTTTTGTTCTTCCTCAGTTCTTTCTTGCTCACTTTAATTCTTTGTCGTCTCCCCTTCCTTTGTTTCTTTCTCCTTCTCTCCCTCTGTCTTTCCTCCTTCTTTCCATTTCTCCTCCTATTCTTCCCTCCCTTTCTTTCAGCCTCAATTTTTCTCTTTTTCCCTTCCTTGTTTATTCTTTAGTTTCTTCCTATTTTTCTCTTCCATTTCTCCCTCTTTTGCTTCCTTTTTTCTCCCTCCATACCCTCATTTCTTTCTTTGCTCCTCACGTTCATTCCTCTTTTCTCTCTTGTCCTTCCACCCCTCTCTCCTCCCGCATTCTTTTCTCCTTTCCTCCAATCCAATTTCCCTCCCCTTCTCCCTCCTGCCCCTTTTCCTTTTTTTTTCTCATTAATCAACGGGTTTTTTTTTAGCCATACGATGAATACCATCAAGAGCGAAACGGACAAGTACCGATTCAAATACAGCCTTTTCCACCACAAGCTATGATGGCCATTCCGATAACTGGAGCCAACCATAGCAGTAGTGGCATCCAGCAGCCACCGCGCATGTAGTTACGGAAAGTTTGTCTGTTTCTTCAGTGGCCTTGTAAAGTCGCTTTCAAAAATGTTATATTAAGTACTTAAACGCTAACTCAAGCGATTGACTGACGATAAAGCTGCGATCTAAAAGTAACAAGTACCACAACGTAACGTAACGGAAAGCAACTGTAACGTAACGCAAATAAATGATATCCTAACAGGGCGTCAGAAACCACCATGTAGTAGACACCCGAAATAGAGAACAAATATAATAAAAGGAGTCTATATCATACATTTCATTAAAACCTCCATATTCTTCATCTTCTGCTTCATTTTCTTGGCTCTCTTCACTTGAAGAGTGCTCCGGGTGCAACTGATGGAGAAGATCTGTGATATTTTAACTAAAATTTTCTTCAGACGTTACAAATTTCACGGACAAAACAAAGATCCACTTCTTTTTCATATCAAACTGAATGCCACCGGTTCAGTCTTCTATCGCCCTTCAGAGCTACTTGGAAA